ATTTTCCCGGCGCACTCCCACCAGGAGTCGCACAGGATTTTTGGAGGCAGACTAAAAAAGAAAACATTCTGTGACAAGGAGTAGGCTCCTTATGAATGCAAATGAGTCTGGGAAAATTCACAGAGCAGCTAGCGGGCCCCAGCATCCGTCACATCTCCCCCCACCAGGCTCAACCCACGCTTTGGAGAGAGGTCTAAGGGCTTACAGGGGCCCTACAGCAAGAACAGACACACTCTTAGAAAAGGGCATGGAAGTCCTGTGGCTGACACACTGCGAGTGCCACCGGTGACTATTATTTTCACGAAAAATGATAAGCTTACTGTTTTTACATGCCATCTGCAGAATGGCTGGTGGGTTTTAGGTTTTTATTATAAAACATTCATCTCTTCAACCCTCTGTGTGTGTGTGTGTGTGTGTGTGTGTGTGTGTGTGTGTGTGTGTGTATGATGCGTCACTTGTATCACTTGACATTTGGCTTCCCTTTTATCCTGTTCCAAGGATAGTACGTCAAATGCTATGTGACAGGTCAACCCCGTCATATCAGTCATCCTTCACCCTGACCCAGTCTCAGCTGCACAAAGACACATCCAGCTCCTCCACGCTAAAAATGATCATTAGCTACAAGATACAGGCAGATCCTGCTGGGTTAAAGGCAGGGATCTGTTTACTCAAACTAACAAGGAAACGTAAACATAAAATCATAAACAGACTATTCTTCAAGTCCTAAAATGTAATTTTCTTAAATAAAGGTACAAAAACAGAAGCAATGTTACATCACCTGTTTTCAAGGAAATCTTATTTGAAAAAGTCTTAGAAAAGACAATAAACCTAATATTAAAGTGGTTACTGAGAAAACTGTCATCATGCTCATTGCCAGAAATGAATAAAAGGGGCAGTACACCTACACATGTTACACATAAAGATTTAAAATATTCATCATGAGGAGTACTTCTCAATTCAATTCAGATTCATTTATATTGCACCAATTCATAACAGAAGTTGTCTCATTGCACTTTTCATAGATATAGAGAGTACTAGTAGAGTAGAGGTTTATAGTGTCTTCTGTTAATAGAGCTTTAAGAAAATAACCCAATGGTGTCATTAAATTTTTAGGAAAAACCCTGCGATACAAACTTGGGCATTAGACCAGGCAGCGAAAGGTCTAATGAAAGATGCTTTGAGTTTAATTATAGAAATAGACCTTTTTAACAGCAGACATTTTTTACTTGTCACAGTAAGAAAAACGCAGGTGTTACTATGTAATAAAAATAGCGATGGCTAAGCCAGGACTTTGTGGTCTCATTGGAGTGAGCCAGCCATCAACACCCCAGAAACAAGCCTCTGCTGGGAGGCAATTTTTTCATAGTGGCCACATTCAGTATTGCAGTATCATGTGGCGCGCACACTGGCCCAATAAGAGCTTTTCCAATTTACAGTTATTACAAAAGGAACAGCTGTGAAACGATGGATACATTTTTCTGAGCGTCTCAAAAACCTGAACTGACTCTTTTTAGATTATTTTTTGCCATTCATGTGAGTGGAGAGCCAAGAGGGAGTCAGCTGACTCGACTGGAGAAATACTAAAATGCAGAAGCCCGTGGTAGGCTAATCGACTTTGGAAACATCTTGAAGGAGTAAAAAAGAAGAAGGTTTTCATAACAAATCTATGATCATTATGCATAGTACCAGGACCCTGAAACTACAGCAGCTAAATGGAATTCAGCCATCTTTAATTTTGTTATGTACCGGTGCTTTCCCTACTATGATGTGTCTCCAGCGAAAAAGGGTTTATCAGAACCAACATATTTTGACCTTGACCTACACTAAGGAATAAAAGTATAACACATATATGACTAAAATGACATCTCAACCTCTGATGCTTCATTTTTGACGATGTCTCTCGCAACTCTCCCAACTTTTTGGAAAGGCAATGATAAATCTCTGGAGCAACCCTTTAGTGAGATTAATTAGATATGATATCACATCAATGACTGGGCAGCTGTGCAGGCCTTGCTTTCTACCTCAGGTTTGTTTCAAGTACCTCTTTTGCTTCAAAGCTAATCTGACGTGCAAAGAAACTGGGACTTGTGGGTATTTAATTTAGAATGAGTTCAAAGGAGGATGGTCAACAGAGGCAGAGCAAGGGCTCGGAAATGCTGACTCGGCTCCTGTCGCTTAATCTATTTGAGGTGCGATTAAAGTTTAATTCATGCCCATCTCCTAATGCTAGCCGATGTGTGTGCGCCTCAGCAGTGGGTCGGTGAGTAGTTTCAAGCTGAGCCCAGGTCTTTTCTCTCTGTCTGGGCCTCACTTTATTCATGCCTGAGGGACACCGGGAACTGCAAACAACTGAATTTTTCATCAAGGTTACTTCCTGGAGAGATGTGCCATGCAGTTGCTGCTTTCTCTCTCAGTGTGTTCCAAGCTCATACATAACTTACCCTGCTCTGACCTGCCGCTCTCTCTGGGAGGAGTTATTTGACCCTGGTCCAGATAGGAGGATGTGTGTTGTGGAGTCAGCATGAGGTTTGTTAAGAAGCTTGAAATATTGGGGTTTTGTTTATATGGTTTGATTATAAGATATCTAGTAACACTGTATTTGAAAACCCCCAATTTAGTATTTATATAGAGTGCATTAAGACTTTTAATTGTTTAGTTATGTATTTATCAACAACTATAACTCCTCTTATGAAACATCCTTAATATATGCTTGATAACATAGTTATAATTATATGTAATGGTATTTTCATAAGTTTTGAACACATTCATCAATAATTTTACGGCTGCGTTATACAGCGTTATCAAGCATAAATAAATGAATGAAATAAATAAAAATAAATGCAACAAAATATTTGGTGAAATGGTGTAAATTGTGTTTTAGTATGTAGTAAACCTTTTATTAAATATGTATATACAGCGTAGTACTCTTAGCATGAAGTATTTCAAAATATACATCTATGTACAGTCTGTCTTCATATTTGGTGCGCATACTTGCAAACGCTTGAGACATTACATTATTTTAGTTTACAGGCAGCTCATGTGAAAAATGTACTGTAAAATCTACTCATCGCAAATGTATGATAATCTATGGTACACTCTGTCTTGTTCCATATTTATCAGAGATGCCTCACTGGATGATGGTAAACACAACACAACTCAACAAACTCAACTAGTTCACATTTCTTTTGGGAATACCAACATGCTTGGCATTAACATTTTTAGTCTCAGAAAAACAACTCTGCAACTTCTGGAGAAAAACATCGTATTTTTACATCAAAATTCATTTGCAATTATAATCCAATCTTGTTGTTTTGCAGGATTATTAATGCTGCAACAACACATTTGGTTTTAATGGAGGGGAGATATGCGACGTCAGAGTTTTCACTTTCATTAAGGCTGCAAATGCTGCTTTTTGCGAAATACAGCAATCAGAGCCACAAACTAGGCTTTATTTATTCTATTCAGAGTTTACTTTTCCAAAAGCATCCACAAGCAATAAGGTCATTTCTGTCTTTTGGCTTACAGTGGAATAAATTTGAATTTAGAGCAAAAGGAATAAGCTCTTTAGATCATATTTCACACTAATCAATGCAGGCCTTGATTTTTAAATCAGACCTAAGAAGACTGATGTGTGGGAGGTATGGATCGAGACTTGAAGAACCAACCTGACAGCAATGTGTGGTTTAATATTCACTGTTCTGTAGACGTATGATTGAGTCAAAAATCTAAGAAAAACTTGATGTTTGTCATGTCTTTAGAATATTTTTTCCACTTTAGGAGTGTGCATGTTTGCAACTGAACCACCATCTCCTTTGCAAGGTCTACAACACAAAGATAATCCTCAGTCATTACGACCCTGTTAAATAGGGAATAAAATAAAGCAGGATGGCTGCAGACTTCCATTTCAGGGCTGTGCTGTGCAGTCTTGCAGCTCTTGAGAGTCAGACATTATCACCACCACTACCCTCAACCTCACCCTGCCCCTTGTGACAATTATTGCCCTACCTCCCTATTCAGCACGTAATGAGAAAACTGACTGATCGATTTCTGTCCGGCCAGTAAAAGAAGGGAAGGAGGCATTTGGATAGACCAGACTCCAAGGCACAGATCTGCAGCATATCTGTATTATAATTTATATATATATTTTAGGTGTTAATGGGAGATAGCATGCAAAGAGTGATAAGATATTTTAATAGAGGTCTGGTTTAGGGCTGCAGCTAACAATTATTTTTCGTTATTGATTAATCTTCCGGCTATTTTCTCGATTAATTGAGAGACTATAAAAATGTCAGAAAATAGAAAAAAAAAATGTTTTAACTGGAACTGGTGAATTTTTGGAATTTTGCTTTTAAAAGGACAACGATTGAAAAAGGACTCCACCGGTTTAACATTGCAATTCATCAGTTATCAAAATAGTTGCCAATTTTCTGTCAACTGACTAATTGTTGCCGCTCTAATAGCAATTACAAACAGTGTCAGGGTGTTCAAACACAAGGCTGGTTCGATTGGGGAATCAGTGCATTAGTTATAACAACAGTTGTGGTTCAGTGTTCCAACATGAGGCTTGTGAAAGTGCTCCTCACTAAACTGCTGCATGTTCTAATAAATTCATTTTGATTTATTATTCCTGTGACTGATTACATGGATGTAAATATTCAGCAGTAAAATATATAGTCTGGGTGACAGGGTGTCTTTTCCAAGCACTGCCATGCTGTCCTGTTGGGTCAGAGCTTCACTGCCACTCACAGTTATTTATTAGGCTACATATTCGCTGTCTATCCATCACTGTATGGCCACCCGGTCCGGTCACATCTCTTTATGTTTATTACTGTGTCCCACCTTCCCAAGGAGGATGATTGACGTTTTCGGAGAGGACCGAGGTGGGACTTGCGCGCTCCTTCTTCTCCAATCGTGGCTCGAGGGGCGGAGGCTTTCCATCCATACTCTGATTATGAGTCAGTTACCAGACATAAGCGAAACAATAACAGTTGGTGGTTACTTCCAAAAGCCTCCACAGGCAAGTTGAGTCGTTTGCGCGTTTTAGCGCCTCAAGCTCTCGAGTATATCGGAGAGGAGCTCAATGCGCTCCACTTTTAATCAGATTAGGAGCCTTTAATGTTCAGTCCTGCTTTTTTCCCTCCTTCTTCCCTACAGTAGCGGCGCAGGAGTGGCCAAAGCCAAAAGCAGCGATTCAGATCAGATTTCACCTAAACCAGCTGGGGGAGAGACCGAAAGAGAGAGAGAGAGAAGGCAGAGAGAGGGTTTGTCAGTCTCCCTCCTCCCAAATCCAGAAAATCTTACCAAGGAAAAAGGAGGAGTGTCGGGGGGTGAGAGAGAGAGAGACGCAGAGGAATCCAGAGGAATTTCCGAGGATATTTTACCTTCTTCTATTCCCCCCTCTCTTGATATTAAAATTGAAAAAGTTGGAGGCGAGGCAGCAGGGACCGTGGTCAAGGATGGACGAGCAGCCGCGGTTGATGCACTCCCACGGGGTAGGCATGGCCGGACACCCCGGCCTGGCGCAGCATATGCAGGATGGAACGGCGGGGACGGACGCAGAGGGAAGAAAGCAGGACATCGGAGACATATTACAGCAAATAATGACCATCACAGACCAAAGCTTAGACGAAGCACAGGCGAGGTGATGCTACACACACACACACACACACACACACACACACACACACACACACACACACACTTGTGAATCGGAGAGCGGAAATATTAGCCAATATTATTAGGGATGGGGGGGGGGGGGGGAGATAATATTGTGGTTTGTGTCAAGACTGCCTCTAAACGAAAGCAATTACGCCCACTGAAGTGCCGTGACTGCGTGAAAGCGAAAGAAAAAGCCTTATAAACTTCATATTTGATTATTTGAAACAACTTTTGCATTCATATTTTTATCAAAACTATCAATCATTGTGTGATTAGTGTGGATTAGGATGATCTGTTGAGAGGTTTTACAACTGTGAAGCAGTTGCCACTCCAGTTTTCCAGACACTTCTACCTTGTAACAAAAGGAGCTTACAATGTAATCCTGTGCTATAATAACAGGTTGCAGATCCTCTCCTATAGTTTTGACCTATTGTCAGTAATCTAAAATATAATGCAAAATACATTTGAGGCATGTTGCAGTAGTAATGTAACTGGCTGGATTATGTTAAAATCTGGTTTTCACTCATTGTGTATTTATGTGACAAAAATAATATAATTTCAGTCTAAATATTATTGACATTTTTCTTTGCTGTGTCTTTTCTCCTGCATGTTTTATAAATGACCCCGCTTCTTACAGAAGAAACAGCGGGGATGTGAGAATGCCCCACTCTTTTGTTACTGTTCCCACTTGTTTGAATATTGATCTGGAAAGTGGTGTCCTGTCCCCCTTTTAGGAAACATGCACTGAACTGCCACAGAATGAAACCTGCTCTCTTCAACGTCTTGTGTGAAATAAAGGAGAAAACAGGTATGTTTTGTTTTATAGTTTCTTTTGTTTGCTGGATTTTTGTTTTTTGATCGCTTACTACAGGTAGTGCACATTTTATGGTCCAATAGTGTATTCCTAGTATCTTAGCATCACTTCTTTCCTTTATTTTTCAAAATCTGTCTCACAGCATGCATGTGAACAGCCCTGGCCCCAGATGAGATGCTGTCATTGGTCCTGGAGTGTTTTCATGCCGACATTTGGGCCTTTCTAAGGCTGGGCTTTCTCACCCGTCTCTGTCTGTTTTCCTTGGCCAAAGTGAGAACTGTTTTACATGGGGAGGCAGGTCAGAGGGATTCTGTGTTTATGTTTGCAACGAGGTCAAAGTCATGAAAAGGAATGTGTGAATTATTGCTCACTTAACAGCAGATTAAAAGAAGAGCGGCTCGCATGATGAAAGCCCGTGAATATTCTCTGAGGGATGTGGCAGAGCGCTGTTTAAGAGGCGGCTTTTCAAGGGAGGAAATAAAAAACAAAATATCCAATATAACCTTATCTGTGAACACAACTTTGAAGCTGTCTTTGAGGTTATTGAGAGAGCCTTGTCACTTTGACAGTTGGAAAATAAACACAGGGCTGGGATGGAGGCATTACCTTTTTCCTTAATTTTACTTTAAGTGGTATTCGCTGACATTTTGTTGTTATGAGTCAGAGTTTGGCACAGGTCCCCCCCCCCCCTCAAAAAAACAGCAGAAGGAAGCAGCAGATACTTTGGGTTTTTCACCAGATTTACAAAGGTTAAAGAGTGTAGTCTGTGAGGAGGAAGCTATAGTAGGTTTGGGCCCTGTCTCTAAATTGCAATGCTTGGAAAAGTAAGAGAGTAATGCCTGGCTCTTTGTAAACTGTCTGGCGTCTCCCCGGGTTCAACCAGAGTTCGTTTCCAAAAAGAAGAACAAAGTGACTTGGACCTTTTCCTGGCTCCTCTCTTCCCACCGTTCCTGGCAACCGGGCTTTCACAGAGCTTCTGAGAGAGAGGCTCCCCTCAGCCTGCAAATTCTCCTTCCCTCTGATTAGGACCAATTTTGGAAATGAACATATTTCACTATAGTTTATATATTACTCTCTTTTTTTACATTGTATTGAATCAGTTATTTTTAAGTGTTGTTAAAAAAACATGCTCGAAACTACAAATCACCAAGCTCTTAATAATGAGTTGTTTTTTTTATGAAGACAGAAAAGCATTTAAAAGAACAAACAATTTATGAGAGAATCAAGACTTAATGGCTGCCTCTTTGCTTCCTGTCTACGATTCAAGAGCTGAGCTGCGGCTCATCTTCGCCCATAGGAGGTTTGTGCAGGCGAAACTGAAAATCCTTTCACTGCAGTGACAGAGAAAATGACTCAAACCTTCACCATGGCATTTACAGCCAAATGTGCTGAGTGCAGTGTATGCGAGCGGAGTACAGCCTGTAATTTGTCAGGTCTCTTTTTTATATTCTTTATAAAGAGTCAGCTACTCCTTGCTTTTTTACATTGTTGCAGCCAGAGTGTCTTTTAGAAGGAAGTGCGAGCAGGAGGGAGATGATTGCAGCAGCTCAGATTTGAAGCAGCCCTTCTCCTCGACCTTTTGCTGAAGGGAGGAAGCCTTTCTTTAGATCGTATATCATTTGTTGCAAGTAGTTATTCGCATGTGCATTGCATGTACCTCCTCGTGGTGTATCAGTGGCGTGTGAGTGTTGACAGCAGTGATATGGGACATTGCAGCAGTAAGGTGTCCACTGGCAAGCAGCTGACAAACAAGACGGGAGTGCATGCCAATGGTGGACAGAGCAGGCCTTAACTGATGACCCCACCCCACCCCTCTCCCTGTATATTTGAGCCGGGGTCGGGCCCATGTCACAGAGGGAGAGTATTTAGCAAGCTTAAACAAGCTCATGTTCGCACGCTGGATTATGGATAACCAATGGCTGAGGCTTGTGCTACCACTTACAAAGGTTCCTTTTGGCCGCCAGTGTTGTATTTCACGTTAAATGTTTGCCCCTGACTACTGGCCCCTCTCCACTTCAAAAAAAAAACAACTATCATCATTGTTTCTACAGTTCCTGAGAGCACTTAGAATTCGTTTTCCTGTGCTTGCTTCACATCCTGTGAAGAGAGTTGGAGAGCGTCTTTGTTTGTGTGGAACCATAACGGCGAGAGAAGCTGGCACGTACAGGTTGACTAAGTAAGAGAAGCCAGACACCAAGTCAGTGTTTCTGGGTGTCAGATTTCAAGCCTACTCTCCCTCTCTTTCTCTCTCTCTCTCTCTCTCTCTCTCTCTCTCTCTCTCTCTCCTCTCCCTGTCTGTGTCTCTCTATCTGTGGGCCTGGGACTGTTTCGTCAGGCCACTCTTGTGTCAGCAGCCTCACATTACCCCCTTGCAGGCTCGGGTCAGATGGAGAGCTCCTGCATGACTAATGTGATCAGACGGATAATGCATTACACCGCTTGAACTTATCAAAGCTGGGGACCTGCTGAATCAGTCGGCCCCACTAACTGCAGCCCCCCCCTGCTGCTAATTAGACGTGTACACACATTTTGGAGATTCACAGTGGTGTTGATCTGGTCACTTTCAAGGCTCCTGCCAGGACTCATGAGTGCTGGGAGAACTAGTTTTCGTCATTAGCGCAAAGCAAAGACATTTCTTTTGATAACTGGGCTGCAACAAACAATTATTTTCATTATTGATCAGTCTGACAACTGCTTTCTTGTTTAAATGAGTAATCATTTCGTTTATAATTTTGAAAAATAGTGAAGAAATGGTCTTCAGTTGTCTTGTTTTATCTGACACACCGTATAACACCCAAAGATATAGATTATACAAAAAAACACCGAACAAATGTCAAAAAAAATTAATTCATTATCAAAATACTTGCTGACAATTAACCAATCAGTCAAATGATCATTTATGGTATTTTCTGTAACATGAAGATTAAACGGTGACGGGGGTACTAGTTGAGCTCCCATGAAGCAGTGGATAGACTAGTCACTATAGCTCCCAGTGCTGCTGTTTTTCAGTATTTAATTGACATGGCTGTCCATGATGAGTTCAGGGGTTAGTGTTGCCTCTCTTTGTTACTCTCCTCTCATCTCCAGTGACAGATGGAGGCATTAGTCTCCAATGTGGCGCTGTCCTGAAACTAATGGCTATGTCCTTGGTTTCCCTGCGCTAGCTGGGAGACTGTATATCTGTCCCCGGCTTGGAAGTGCCGAAGCAGCAGTTTATCCCCCCATGTTTTAGTTTCCACGGAAATAAGGCCGAACAAGACTCTGTCTGTTCTTTCATAAATGACTTCAAATAAATAACTCCAAAACGAGTGCGAAGTTTTCCTGGGAAAATGTTGCCGGGCTTTGATTTGCGAGTTTATAGGAAACTCTTCCTCCACTTACCAGAAACGTTCCTCTAAGTGAATAATAACAAACATGCAATATATTTTTACAAGTAGTCTGAGCAGGGATGTGTTGAACGTTAGTTTATCTTTGCTTTAAAAGTGAGTTACATCAAACATAAATAGGCCGGATTCCATATTACCCACAGACATTTCCTCTATATTCATATTTATATTCACAACATTACCAGTGCACTTCAGAAGCAACAGCGAGTGTTTTTGCTGTTCCCTGTCCTCTGATATAAACTCACTCGCAATTAGGACAGCTAATATATTATGCAAATGTTGACTGGCTTAATTGAGACATGTTAATCATGTTTTAAGAGGCTAATTACAGCCCTGTATATCTGAGGTGGGAGTAGTAATTAGCCATGATAACAGATCTGGCTGTGGAATGGTCATATTCTGTGTGTTGACGTATGGCGAGGGAGTGCGTGAGTGTGCGTGCGCGTGTGCGTGCGCGTGTGTTTGTGAGTTCATAGGTAGGTCCCCAGGTGTGTCTTGTGTTTGTTTTACATTTTTCACATTTCACCTTCATGAAAACAGCAAGAAGGACAGAGGAACAGAGATTTATCAGTTCACCTATTCATCAGAAATATAAATGCTGCATCTCTATCTATGGTTGGTTTCCTGCACTCCTCAGTCTGAGTTATCTGATGCGGCAGTACTGTCCATTCTGTGAACCGGGCTTTTATACAAGACTCTGTTCTTAGTTTTCTGACAGAGATCATATTCAGATCCATTACGCTAAGAATGCCTTCCCACTTATCGAATATAAAATTGCTTTAGAGAGGAAATTTGCTCTATGGGGGAGTGGAGTTTCTTTTTTATCAGATGTTTGTCTCTGGAGCAGCTTTTAGTGTCTACAAAACAGCTCTAGTGACATTATTGCAGTTGCAATTGCCTCAGCCATTGTTTTTCTTATTGGTGCTGTTTGGATTTGATTGGATTTTCCACAGTCTCGTGGAATTGCCTCACGCAGCAGGACCGGCGGAAGCGTATATCCTCATATTGTTGGCGTTGAAACACCTGCAGATCTTATTACTGATATGTTCATGGGGCTCCAACTGTGCACTCCAACTACCTCTGAATTACACTGTTAAGTTTTTCATCTTTCATAGTATTACATCTGTTTTGGTTACACGCCACCTTCCCCCCCACGTCACCCCCCCTCCCCTCTGTTTGGCTGAAGTGACAGATCCTTTCTTATATCAAAAATGTAACTTCAGGCTGTCTTGGGCACTTTGATGGAGGTAGTTGCCCTGGAAGTTGATAACCTTTAATTTGAGGCGTGGGATCTCATTTCTTTGGCACCCTGCCACTACGATGTAAGTGGCGTGATCGCAGCATGCTGGGGTTCTGCAGAAGGCCCCCCCCCTCCCCCGACTTCGATGAACAGTCAAACATAAAATGGCAAGCGCTCTTCCCTGGCTGACTTAGTAAAAATGACATAAATTAATACATGCTGCTTAAACAGGACCAAGATTAATGGTTGCCTTTCGCAGCAGCTTAGATCCACTGTCAGTCGCTGCTCGCTGCCCAGATGGAATCAACACCAATCAATGAGGTTACCCAACTCTCCCTGGATATCTGCTTAGGATGTTGAGTGGGACA